TAACAAGGTGTTCGAGATTGTTCATACTTATGGTCACTGCCACCGCGACCTCGGTTGCTTGGTTGCTTAGTTCATGTGGTTTTCTGAACGTCGTGACTTCTTCATACGATTATAGATTTTAACGATCTTTATATCCACACGTTTGTATTTGAGTCTACTACAATTTTTCGTTTAGAACTCGCGTTAAAAAATAATACATTTTTAATTACGATTTTATAAAAAAAACGTTCATACATACAATCATAAAGAACACATGAATATAAAGATCCTAAGTAAAAATATATTACTTTTTAACGGGAGTAATATAAACGAAATTATAGTAGACTCAAATACGAACGTGTGGATATAAAAATCATGAAAATTTGTGACCGTATAAAGAATTTACGACGTTTAGAACACAATAACTTAATCAAACCACAAGAACTAAGGAACCAAACAACTGAGGCTGTGATGACCATAACCATGGACAACCCCGAACACCTTATTAATGATTGTGTTACGTAGTATGACGTGAGAAAACCCTAAAAAACGGTCATTAGTATTGAATGTGTACAAAAACAACAATGACTTATTTTGAAACAAAAAAAACTTTTAAGGACTAAATGTGCAAAAAAATAATAATGACTAAATGTGTACAAAGTGAGAAATATATTACTTTTTAAAGTCATTTTTTCCGGCTTACTTTGAGTAGCCGGTCATTAGGACTAAATGTTTACAATTAAACAAGTTGAAAAGATAAATATAGACGAAAAAAAAAAAAAAAACTCAGTGACCAAATGTTTATAAATTAAAAAATATATTACCTTTTTAAATCGTTATCCAATTTTTCAAAGTTTAATTTGTTGTGTTTCACTCGTTTTGGGACTAACAAAAGAATCACTATTTAATATAGAAAATTAAAAGATCTTAGCAATGAAATAAAACCGAAAGAAGTCAAATACTTAAACCGCTTATCATATTAACCAGTAATACTACGTAAAGTCATTAAAAAACTATAAAGTTTGATTACTATTTCAATTCAAGGTTGTAGTTTAAGAAAATAACTTCATTTCGTTATATTTATGTTCGAAACCTTTTTATCCCATGGAATGCATAATATTTTTATCTTTTTTTCTTACTTACCTTTCTAACTATATTTTTATATATGACAAATATTATATTTTAATAAAATTAATAATATGTTAATATACTTGTCATCGTATTAAGTAAAAAAAAATAGAAAAATATTTAATTTATGATGTAATACCAACTTTTTACCATTGATCAAATATTTTAATCAAGTATTTAAAACGTCTCTCAAAGTTAAAAAGATATTGACCAAATTAATGTCATTAATATGGTGTATTAATTACTAAATGCCAAGTTAGTAACATAAAGAGGGAATTTTGTAATACATTTATTTCACACACAATTAGCATGAAAATTAACATATCTATTTTAAGAGTTTATTTCATAAAATATTTTACATTTTGATATGTTAAGATTTTTTAGATTTTCTATCAAAAAGTACATAATTTTTACCTACTTGGTGTTTTTTCAATTACGAAACCGATTACCGACAAATAAATTGAGTTTATTCCATGAAAATTCCTACATTTTGTATTTTTTTTTTACAAAATAAAGCTAACTTTAATACATTTTTTGTTATCCTCCCTAATAAATAAAGAATTTTTTGCCATTTTCTTATTCATTTTCTTATTCATTTGGACACATGACATTTTCTAGAATTTTTGAATTTTCTATTTTCTACTTGTCATTTTATTGTATTTTTCATTTTATTAAATTAAAATTCTTCATTTAATATGTAAGGTAATATATATGTAATATATTTATTAGAAAGAGTTTATATATGTAATGTATTCAATACATTAAAGCCTCATTAATTTTAATAATTCAAATTTTTTCTCATTTTTCTTATATATTCAAACTTTTCAAATTGTTAAAATTTAATATTTAATTATTTTTAAATAAACTCATGTAATACATGAGTCTCACACCTAGTTTCATTAATGAAATAACAGAGTTAACCATATGTCTCTAACTTACATGCGTCATAGGCATCGATCATATAAAGAATAACCGATTCTACAACGCAGATCATATTGCTGCTGCTTTTTTTTTTTCTTGTACACCACATTGAGCCCCTTTAAATGGTTTCTTATTCAAGCATTAGAACATAAACTTAGTAAACAATGTTGAAATAAAAATTCTGCTATTGTGAAGATGAAACTCCGCTATTTAGCTTATGTCCCAAGACTATTTTCACAAGGTCTAATGATATGTTTTATTTTCATAGTGTTATAGACAATTTTATATGTAAGTTGCTATTTATTTATTTATTATTATTATTATTATTTTACTTTTAACCCTATTTTATCTCAAGTATTAACAATGTTTCACAATGGATAGACAAATTTATTGTCATGTTTTTCATTACCTATCAACATTTTACAATAAATAGTAAAATCAACAAGGGTTACTATGAAGCTTAAGTGACCACCAAATGCACTATTAGCACCGAAAGACATATCAGAGGAATTGGTTGTTACATATGCTTGGATAAAGATGTTTAGGAGAATATGTTTTGATTCACGAGTAGACATTCCGATCATTAATAAAGATCTCACTGTGGTTCACGTTAAGCTAATGTCTGAGACCCTCCATTCATACAATGCCGAAAAAAAATGTAAATTAATGTTGGAGGTTATAAAAATAAGAAAAACTAATGCATGCGATCATCCATCCATACAATATTCAATAAATTTAGTACTCATTGTAAAACATTGATAAATACTTTAAACAAAAAGGTCTTAAATGTTAAAAATAACAACTTATTGCAAACCTGACCCAACACTTTATTAAAATAAAGATAACATTAGACTTTGTGAAAATAGTTTTGGGACACCTTTTGAAAACATACTCAATCTTGTGAAAATAAGGAGATATGAGGTAAACAAATGAGCTTTCATCCTCACATATTAGAATCCATTTCAACATTGATTACTAAGTTCATGTATTTGATGCTTGAAGAAAAAAATAACAATGAGTAAGGTAGTGTTTGTTTTTTGTCTGCAGATATGCGTGGCCTCTTCTGTCTGCGCTGCGCAGACCACGCACAGACATTAGCTTTCGCAGACTGTTTGTTTTTTTGAAGACTGCAAACCTAAAAATATCTGCGCGTCCTCTTCTTGGCGCAGATGTGGACCAGAGTCTTCTAACATCTTCAGACATCTTTTAGCCTAAAAACATATATATCTTTATTTTTTTTAAGTTTTTTTTTTAATTTATATTTTTTCCAACTTTATTAATAATAAACAATTTGAAAAAAAAATTACAAACTTTAAAAAAAACGTTTGACGATACAAACATGATATCTTTGACAAATTTATAAATAAAGATTTATTACAATAATAGTCGTTGAAGTTGTTTATATAAATATGAAAAAAAATCATAATATATTCTTATATTTTTTTGCCAAATTTTGTAAAACATTATTTAATACAGTATCGTCAATTTCTCGAGAAAATATTTATGGTATGTTTTTAATGGATTTAATTGAAAAAATCGAAGTTTATTTTCATCCATTTATGTATCAAATTCTTTGATAACTAATTATAATGTTTAGTTATAACTTTGCAACCAAAGTTGTTTGTTTTTATCAAATATATACGTTAATTCATACCATTTTTATTTTTATATTTTTTATACAATAATACATAAAAGTTGATCTAGATTCGTTAATTACTTATAACAAAGTCATAAAAATATTAAAAAATTAGTTTATTTAGATTTCGGTTTATTTTAGTATACTGCAGATGTTAAAAAACAAACAGTCTTCTTTTTTCATACTGCAGACGTTTGGTCCACCTCTTCTACTGCAGGGATCTACAGATATGGTCCGCAGACTGCATACATTTTGCCTCAGAAAAAACAAACAGCACCTAAGTAAAAAAGTGTGTTTTTTTTTTTTTTTTTTTTTTTTTTGTAAAAAAGGTCTAAATTAGAAAAAATCAAAATCAAAATATAGAGTCGTTAATATTTTTCTACAATTTTAACTGATATGATTTTATCAGCATTATTTTTTACTATTTGTTAAAACTTAGATACATTATTGTCTTGTGAATTATCATAATTTTGTATCGTTCTCACTAGTAAATATTCTATTTATTAAAAACAACATATTTAATCAAGAGACGGATATAACATAGTTTTTAATATCATTAATATTTTTTGTTCTTCCAATTTAGTTTGATATCGATATTTTGGCTCCTCTAGTTTGCTAGTATATATAATTATAAAAGAAGACAATTTTGATAAAAACTTTTATTTTAACTTTGTTTATTTATTTGGAATGATACAAGCAAAAGGCCAAAAGCCTAAAGTAATGTACTCTTACACAATCACAACAACCACCCATGACATTTAGTCGAGAACTACAAACACGTTGACTGCACGTGACCATCTACCAACCCATATACTGTTAAACAGTGGAGAGTGAATGTGACTTTAATGCTGAAACCCCACCACCATCACCACCACCACCGTCATCATATTCAAGAATCAAGATTCACCAACATCATCTCCTCTTTCAATCTAAAGATACAGTTTTGATTTTACCCTTTTGCCCCTCTCACACCTCCAAGAACCACCGTACCAAACGGTGGGGCCCGCTTTCCACCACCAGATCCGGGCCCCACTTCCGTAGATTACAACTCATAGCATCGAAAAAAAAAACCATCCATCAAACCAATTTGCATCTCTTCCTACGCATTCGACTTCCATTTTCTCTCTAAAGTTCCATCAACCTTTTCGTTGTCGATCTCTCCTTGTACCCATATCTTTCTTTGATTATAATAATCCCACAAAACTTATAATAATATTAAATTGGGGTTTGTTCTAAATTATATAGATATAAAATTACACATATGTCGCTGTTTACATTACGTTTTTTTTTTTTTTTTTTTTTTATCGACGCGGGTTTAGGCCTTAGGGGTTTATGAAAAGGGTATTTGAAGAAAGCGAGTAAAGTGAGGGAAAGAAAAAAACGCTCTGTACTTTGTTGAAGAAACTCTTCAATTAATGGCTACCAAAGGAAGACTGGTAGCCGGTTCACACAAGAGGAATGAGTTTGTCTTCATCAATGCGGATGAAGTTGGAAGAGTAAGCTGAGCTCTAAAATGCTGCAACATTTTTTTTTATACGAATTAGACTGATTTGAGGCAGATTTTTCCCCTTTTAGTGCAATGTGTGTTCTTGGTGTTAATATTTTGGTTTGAAATCCGCAAAGTCTTATCTTCTCATTACTTTTGTCGCTGGTTTAATGCTGTTTAGAACATTTGCTTTTTGGGAGAAGTTAAAGTGAATGCATCTCGAATTTTGTTTTGAGTCACGCAATTCATCTGTATTTCTAGCTCTAAGACATTAATTCACACATGGTAACATCATTCTATCTTCGTGAACCAAATTTTGCGTTTTGTCTAATTTTAATTTCTTTAACTAATTCATGATTTTATAATGACCTTTTCATATATCTGTCTTCATGGAGATCTTCATTGTTATAAAACTGCAAACTTTTTATGTTCTTTCTCTTTTTTAAACACGATTTGATGAAGATTCCTATTTTGGGCAATTGGGTCTTTGGATTCTTGTTCTGAAAGTACTTTTGCTTCAACAGGTGACCTCTGTAAAAGAATTAAGTGGGCAGATCTGCAAGATTTGTGGAGACGAGATTGAAATAACTGTGGATGAGGAACCATTTGTGGCTTGCAATGAATGTGCATTCCCTGTTTGCAGACCTTGCTATGAATACGAAAGAAGAGAAGGCAATCAAGCTTGCCCTCAATGCAAAACCCGATACAAACGAATAAAAGGTATCAATAATGCTCTATTTCTTTCCAATTCTTGCTAGTTTCATGTCTTTTTAGTGAAAAGAAAAGGAATGAGTTGAAAAGTTTGATATCAGGGAGTCCAAGAGTGGAAGGTGATGAAGAAGAAGATGAATTTGATGATCTGGATAATGAATTTGATCTTAGGAACTGTGAGGCTGTGCTTTCATCACGCCTTAATACCAATCCTGAATCAGCCAATATTTACGGTTTTGCCACTCCATCAGAGATGGATGAAGCCACGCTAAACCCCGATATCCCGCTTCTTACATACAGTCAAGAGGTAATCACACAATTAATTACACTCTATGTACATTTGCTTTAAGATAAAAAATTGAAGATTTATGAACTTACTAATAATTTGAACTTTCAAAACTGAAGGATGATGAAGTTTCACCTGAGAAAAAAGCTATAATTATCCCACCAATCATGAGTCGTTCAAAGCGAATTCATCCTATGCAGTTTTCCGATACTGGTTCGGTAGTCTCTTGTAAGTTCTCAAATTTCTTATGTGTGTGTTGATTTATGGTGTAGTTGTGTGTGGTTAGGTTTAATGTTAGTGTGGTTATTGGTGTTTTTGTTGTAGTGCCACCTAGACCAATGGATCCTAAGAGAGATATAGCAGTTTATGGGTATGGAACGGTTGCATGGAAGGATAGAATGGAAGCATGGAGGAGAAGACAGTCTGATAAACTTGAGATGGTTAAGCACAATGTGAATAGTGGATGTGAGCTTGATGGAGATATGGATGATTGCGATTTACCCAAGTAAATAGTTTTTGTTTTTGTTTATATTTAAAGCTATGTATGGATGTTTGATTTTGACTTAATAGAGAAAGTCAGAAAGGCAACTAATAGAAATTTATAAACTTTTTTGGTTTTATATAGGATGGATGAGGGGAGGCAACCACTATCAAGAAAGCTACCGATTTCTTCAAGCAAGATAAATCCATATAGAATGGTGATTTTAATGCGAGTGGCGATTCTTGGTCTCTTCTTTCATTATAGAATCCTTCACCCTGTCCGTGATGCATACGGTTTGTGGCTCACATCGATTATTTGTGAGATATGGTTTGCTGTTTCATGGATCTTGGATCAATTCCCAAAATGGTTTCCTATTGAACGTGAAACATACTTGGACCGATTGTCATTAAGGTATATGCAACCCTCTTTCTTCCCTTTTGTCACACTGACATCAGTTTCAGTCCCAGTCGAATGCATGCCAAACACAGTGCACAATACGACTTGTTCTATCATGTCATGTCCTTGAGTGCTTACAATTGTGTTAAAAGATGGTTACTTTGTATAAAGGTATGAGAAAGATGGGAAGGCTTCTGAGCTGGCTCCTATAGATGTTTATGTGAGTACGGTTGACCCGTTAAAAGAACCACCACTCATTACTGCAAACACGGTGTTATCGATTCTTGCGGTGGATTATCCGGTGGACAAGGTGGCTTGTTATGTATCCGATGATGGTGCCGCCATGCTTACATTCGAAGCACTATCAGAAACATCTGAGTTTGCAAGGAAGTGGGTCCCGTTTTGCAAGAAGTTTAACATAGAGCCACGAGCTCCCGAGTGGTATTTTGCTGAAAAAGTTGATTATCTTAAAGATAAAGTACATCCTGCTTTTGTCCGAGAACGCCGTGCCATGAAGGTTGGAAAATGACTTCCTTTTGTTTGTTAAGTTCGGGCATATTTTATGATTTGATATCTGATATAATCCTATTATCCAATCATTTGAAATACAGAGGGACTATGAGGAGTTTAAGATAAGGATAAATGGACTTGTGGCCATGGCTGAGAAGGTTCCAGAAGAAGGATGGACAATGCAAGATGGGAGTCCATGGCCAGGAAACAATGTTAGGGATCATCCCGGAATGATCCAGGTATTATAGCATCATACTTTCATTTCTTTCTATTACAACATTCTACTTTCAGTTGTCTTATTATGGCATTGTATTTTGAAAAATCTACCCAACTATTGAATTATAATATTCAAAATTGCTATGCATTTGGATGACAATGACATTATAACTCGGGATATTACTCGAAGTAAAATGCAGTAGTATGAAAAAAAAAAAAACAGAATGTAGAATGCTAATGTAAACAAATCAACGAAAGTACATTGTTATTTCTTCCATTTGACCTTCAAGTGTATTCAACAGGTTTTCCTAGGAAATAATGGCGTCTTGGATGTTGAAGGAAACGAACTACCACGTCTTGTTTATGTTTCTCGAGAGAAAAGACCAGGATTTGACCACCACAAAAAAGCTGGTGCCATGAATGCTTTGGTATGAACTTTTATCTTTGTTACCATATGGATTATATTTTTTCAATATCATTCGTTGTTGATATTAATTAACCTATTGTTCTTTCTTTTATGTAGATCCGAGTGTCGGCTGTGATCACAAATGCACCTTATATGCTGAATGTTGATTGTGACCACTACATCAACAACAGTAAAGCGCTTAGAGAATCAATGTGCTTCATGATGGATCCCATAAATGGGAAGAAGATTTGTTATGTACAGTTTCCTCAAAGATTTGACGGGATTGATCAGCATGATAGATACTCAAATCGCAATGTTGTGTTTTTTGATGTATGTCACATTTTGTTACTCGGGATACCTCAAAGATATTCTTTTAAGATAGCCTATATTTGGTTTCTAATACTTTTTTTTTTATTGTTAGAACAGATTAATATGAAAGGACTTGATGGAATCCAAGGGCCGATATATGTTGGGACCGGATGTGTTTTCAGGAGACAGGCGTTGTATGGACATGATGCTCCGGCCAAGAAGAAACCTCCCGGAAAAACCTGCAACTGCTTGCCTGAATGGTGTTGCTGTTGTTTCAAATCAAGAAAGAAGAAAAACAAGGGAAATGCAAAGAAGAAAACAAGGAAGATGAAGAAGATGAGGGAAGCTTCAAAGCAGATACACGCATTGGAGAATATCGAAGAAGGGATTGAAGGTAAATGACCGGTTTCAAGGTATTTTGAAGTTTGATTCTTTTATTTGTGTTCTTGAAAGGAACTTTTTTTTTTGTAGGAACTAGTGGTGAAATATCTTCACTCGCGCCTCAGATAAAGCTTGAAAAGAAATTCGGACAATCTCCGGTGTTTATCGCTTCAACGCTTTTGGAAGAGGGCGGTGTTCCTTCTTTAGCGAGCTCGGCATCACTCTTGAAAGAAGCCATTCATGTCATTAGTTGTGGTTATGAAGATAAAACCGAATGGGGAAAAGAGGTTTGTGAAATAAAAATAAAATTGATATGCATACAAATATGCATCAAACATATTGTTGTGCCCGATGCATATTATATGCATTGGGCACATTGTTCTGTATCAGGCACGAAATTCGTGCCTGATACATAGAATTATGTATGAGACACATTGTTGTGCCGTATACATACTGATTTTATATTTTTGTATTTTGGGTTTTTTCATTAAGCTATGAAGTTAAAATGCAAATGACAAAACAGGTGGGATGGATATACGGTTCGGTTACCGAGGATATCTTGACGGGATTCAAGATGCATTGTCACGGGTGGCGGTCGGTGTATTGTATCCCGAAGAGGCCCGCATTTAAGGGTTCGGCTCCAATTAATCTTTCGGATCGTCTTCACCAAGTTCTTAGGTGGGCCCTGGGGTCGGTTGAAATCTTGTTGAGTAAGCATTGTCCGATATGGTATGGTTACGGGTGCGGTTTGAAGGCTTTGGAAAGGTTTTCTTACATAAACTCTGTTGTCTATCCGTTGACCTCCGTTCCATTGGTTGCTTATTGCACACTTCCAGCAGTGTGTCTCCTCACCGGGAAATTTATCGTTCCCGAGGTAAGAAAATAGCAATGTACTTTTAAATTTGTTAATTATTTATAGCATCCTACCTTCATTTCTCCTTACCACATCATTGTATTTTGAAAAATGTACCCAATTTTAGCATTGTCATCCAAAGACAAAGTAATTTACTATTGATAATTATAGCATTATAATTTGGTGGATTTTCGAAAGTTCACTTACGAAAATCATCTATAATAATTAAATAATTCTTTCATTTAGCACTTATGAAAACCATTTTCTAGGGTTTGGGTAACCTAATTTTGTGTATGTCTGATTATTTAAGGGCTAAGTAACCAGTTTAAACTAGCTGCATCAAAACTGGTTATCAAAGAGTGGACTAAAATTACTTATATACCCTGTTTTTTATCTATTAATTTCTTAAATGCTCCAAATTTGCCCAACTTTTAGCAGTAGAAGCACATCCTAAGTCTGTCTCTTGCAACATATTTATAATATTGTATCATATCTTCTTCTTGCAGATAAGCAATTACGCGAGCATTCTCTTCATGCTCATGTTTTTATCAATTGCTGTAACAAGTGTCTTAGAAATCCAATGGGGTCGTGTGGGCATAGACGATTTTTGGAGAAATGAGCAATTTTGGGTGATCGGTGGTGTGTCCTCCCACTTATTTGCTCTTTTTCAAGGTCTACTTAAAGTCTTGGCTGGTGTCAATACAAATTTTACAGTCACTTCCAAAGGAGGTGATGATGGGGAGTTTTCAGAGCTCTATCTTTTTAAATGGACAAGTCTCTTGATCCCACCGTTGACTTTATTGACCTTCAATATAATCGGTGTGATTGTTGGGGTCTCGGGCGCGATTACTAACGGATACGAGTCGTGGGGTCCGCTTTTCGGGAAACTGTTCTTTTCGATATGGGTGATTTTACATCTTTACCCTTTCCTCAAGGGTATGATGGGAAAACAAAGTGGTGTTCCGACTATAATTGTTGTTTGGTCAATCCTTTTAGCATCGATTTTGACTTTGTTGTGGGTGCGGGTCAACCCGTTTGTTGGTAAAGGTGGGATCAGTTTGGAACCTTGTGGGCTGGACTGTGACTAAGAACGATAAGGTATGAGTATCGAGTAGTGTAGATTGAAAGAAAGAGGTTGATTAGTGTTTGTAGATAACAAAAGGCAGGGAGTTGTGGCTAGAATATTGAGTTGACTTTGACAAGTCTTATTTTGACTTTTTTGGGATTCTCATTTTGATTTATTCTTTTAGGTTTGGGGATTATTGTAGGATGAAGGGATGGAATTCAGGATATTTATCTGTCATGTAAATCCCATGAGGACATAAAATATTAGACATTATTATATAATTTGGTGTTCATTTTCCGGACAGGTGAAATGATATCTGGTACATGTTTTGTATGTCTTCTCTCGATATTTAACAACATAATATTTTGAACCATAATTTGTATTTACATGTTAAGTGTTTATTATTTGTTGTATGCTAATCTATTTTATTATGTTTTTTGCTTTAGTTTATTCGTATACGTTTTAAACTTTCATCTTCTGTAGTTTTTTTTTTTTTTTTTTTTTTTTTTTTTTTTTTTTTTTTTTTTTTTGGTAAAATCAAAAAGACATTTGCTATGTTGGCTATTTTGAAGGAGCATAAAAACAGTTATTATGTTGATTTGAATGGAGTATGTGATATAAAGTAACTACGACTATCATATGTTGTATTTTATTGGGATATCTCAGTAATTTACTATAAGGTTGAACCGAAATATCTATATATTATTTATCTCTATTGTCTTTTGTAAATGACTTAACTGGTGTGTGTTCTACCTTGGTCATAGTCGTGATAAGCATTCATAATTTCCAGTATGTTTTATGAATATTACATTAGTTTTTAATATTTCTTTTGTTTTGTTATAACTGATGTTTATAATTAATTATTAGTTTACTCATAGTGTGAAATCGTGTTAAAGAATAGTAATAGTCTCCGACATTGATTTATGGCCACTTCCTAATTTGTACTCAACTTTTTTCGACCAATTTCAAAATTTTTAAAGCTCAAGAGAGTGAGTGCGGTTTTACCTTACCTTAACCACGGTTTCAAGGAGGAACACCGCTCCCTGACCGCGGTTTCAAGTGTGGTTTGATCGCATGTTGTAGGGTGCAATCATGGTCTCTCTCTTCCTCCTTTATTTCTTTTTATCTTCTTCCAAGATTCAACGGTCAGATTTGATTTTTTTTTGTTTGTTTTTGTTTTTTTACTTATAAATAAAACGTCACAACACTTATTTCTCCAAACATAAATCCATTTCTTATACCTTTCTATATCTACTTTTTCTCTCAAAATCACTAGAAATGTCGTCATCTTCGTCTTCCGAAGAATTTCAGTTTATGTTTGATGTTGTTTTCGGTGCTGCTAAAATAGCGAAGCAGATGTATAACAACTCAAAATCACAATGATGAAGCCACAAGTGCGGAATGGAGAACACGAAGATATATTCAAAGAAACCGTGAAACAGCCCAACAACGCTTGCAGCAAGACTACTTTGACGAGAATGTCATTTTTCAAGGGTACTGCTTTCGAAGACGCTTCACAATTTTCAAACCCTTATATGAACATATAGTCGAAGATTTAATAAGGGAGTGTAGTTTTTTTTTTCCCTAAAACTGTCCTGACACTAGAGATACACTCAGTTTCACTTCCTTACAAAAAATGCACAGATGCAATTCATCAATTAGCATATGACTCCCCTCTTGATGTGTTGGACGAGAGTTTAAGGATGTCCGCTAGGACCGAACGAGATAGTTTACATTTTTTTTGCAAGTATGTGATTAGGATTTTGTGACATCCCCAAATTCATGGTCATTTTAAAAATTTTATTTATGCTTATTTAAAAATCAGAGTATCCATTTTGAAGAATAATATTGCGGAATTTGTTACCAGAAAACATGATAAATATATTATCAAAACATTTCCGAAGAAATGTATTTTGTTTATATTAAAACTTTGGGATGTCATCGTCAATACAGAAACATAAACATAAACAGACCTTACATTTATTTACACTAGTGATTTACATATCCTTTAATCTCTCAGTGTAATGTAGCTTCGTATTGATACTTGTGATACAAATAAACTGAGTGGGCCAGGTTGGGAAACCTGATGAGTACCTAGGGTTTTCAACCCAAAATAATATAGTTAATTTGTTTCTTCACATACTTCATGTTAAACAATTAACCCGATTACCCATCCCCATTATCTTTATTTATTCTTCCCTAAATATTTACCCTAAGGGTCATCTACTACATCGTATTTACCTCTCATCGCCTTACATCACATTTCCTTACATGTTTGTTCCTAAGGACTTTTCCTAGGGATCATCGCCTACATCGCATAGACAATACTGATTCGGGGATTACTCCCTCAATACATGTCCAGTAAGGGTTAGGGTATCATCGCATGAATACGTAGTTACAACATCGCCTGAACTCGTAATTCAAAGTAGGGGTTAGACTATTATCACATGAATACGTAGTTACAACATCGCCTGAACTCGTAATTCACAGTAGGGGTTAGAGTATCATCGCATGAATACGTAGTTACAACATCACTTGAACTCGTAATTCAAAGTAGGGGTTAGAGTATCATCGCATGAGTACGTAGTTACAACATCGCCTGAACTCATAATTCATATTAGGGGTTAGAGTATCATCGCATGAATACGTAGTTACAACATCGCCTGAACTCGTAATTCAAAGTAGGGGTTAGAGTATCATCGCATGAATACGTAGGTACAACATCGCCTGAACTCGTAATTCAACACCTACAGGTTATGAGCCTGCTGGTGTTTCCACATGACTGTCTAGAATAGTTCGTGGTCGCCATATATACTCTGGTAGATGACTACATCACCACATCGCTACATCATCGGTCAAGGTTATGGTATCTCCTCTCATCTCACATCACCTATTTATCATCACCTATCTATCATCACTTAATTATCATCACCTTTCTATCATCACCTATTTATCATCACCCGTTGCTACCCAATATATATTTATAAGTATAAAAATACGTATACAATTTAAATCACGTAAACATGTATAAATCGTTCATCTAGCATATATACCAGGAACACAAATAATATGAACACATAGCACGTAATTTATATTAAATACTTCATATCTATGTGTAAGATGAAAGTAACTATGCACTCACTTGTTAAAGTGATGACTCCAAACTCGGGTAACGCTTGTTTCTAACAATTCTAGTTTCCTTCGATGAAACCTAATATCATTACCGCTAGATTTTAGTCTACTATTTATCGCGACTATTTATGAACGATTTGGTTTTATAAGTGTTAAACAATACTTTTCAACCACTATGTACAGACAAGGGCTAGACATGAAACACCGGAGAGCAGGACCATTTTGACATTATAGCACTTCTGAAATCCAACAAACCTATGCGGCCCTTCAAACTTGATTCCCCGTACCGCGAGTAGTTAAAAGATATTATAATAACACTTTGTATATTATATTTTATAATATATATATATATATATATATATATATATATATATATATATATATTGTTTATAAGTTCATAATAACAATATTGAACTTAAACATAAGCTATACTTAAAGTAGGGTAATTATAACTCACTTACTAGGAGGTTTGGCTAGGAATCGGGCTCTGCGGGGGCAGAACTTCCGAGCCGAAAAGCTCTTCTTCTCAGAGCCTTCTGGTGATCCGGGACTCGCCTCTTAGCACTTGGGAAGTACTAAGGGTTGGGAGAGGTTTGGAGAGAAGTTAGAGAGAGAGAGAGAGAAGGGTTAAGGTGTGATGAATTGCGAAGAGCCTCGCATGGTATTTATAGGGGGCTGATACTCGGTATGTTGGGCGTACCCTCGGAGCTATGCTGCGCGTACGAGGGCCAGATGTCAATCTTCAGATGGGACGACGTGGAAGCTTTTGTGCCGCGCATGCGAGACCGCAGGGCGTACACATGTACCCTCGCATTCAGCCTATTCCGACTTCTAAATTCTGTACCTTTTGCATACGAGCTCCGTTTTTGACGTTCTTTATATTTCCACGTAGGTGACGACGTACTATACAACTTTCGTTTAGACTCCGTCGGCTAATTTTGAATTTATTTTTTAAGTTATATTTTAACAGACCTAGACAGGTAAAGTCCGTTAAAAATTCATAACTTTGTCATCCGACATCCGTTTTCGTCTATCTTTTTATCAATGAGCTCTTATTAACGAGATCTTCAATTCTCGTTTAGATTGTGTTGGCTAAAAATCGATCGATCTAAAATTTGAATTCCGGGCTGCGTACTGTTATGCTAAATCTTAGAAAAATCATAACTTCCTCATACGAAGTCAGATTTGGACGTTCTTTTTATGCACACTCTCAGTTTAACGTATACTACGACTTTCGTTTAGATTTCTAAGGCTAAAAAGTATTTTATCTCAAACTCACTTTTTACGATTCCCGGTGTCGTGCTAGTTTTGCCGTAAAATTTTGACGGGTCATAACTTCTTCGTTATAACTCGGATTTCAGCATTCTTTATATGTATGGAATCCTTGTGACTTATGATATAACTTGGTTAAGATTATTTATTCTAAATAATCTTCTATCAAAAAGTATTATTTGACACTCATTGTCTCTAAATTGATTAGCCCGAATCTGCGGGCGTTACAATTATCGCCCCTTAGGATGATTACGTCCCAGAATCATCAACAAAACAGGGCATATACAATGACTCCATAAATTATTATCATAGGTAATAATTGTAACTCTTATGTCCTTTCAAATGAGCATCTAACTCTTGGACTTCTTGACTACAGGCGGTGCTCGATCTTGCAATCGCTGTCTATTTGGACTTTCAATCGTAACCTTCGAGTTACAAAATCAATCCTTATTGGAGACTCCTTCTTCTTCTTAACAGACTTAAGATAAGTTCTTTCATTAGAGTACCATAATAGACTGATGGGTCATGTTCTAATGACCTCTCATCGTATGATGCAACGCTTAGACTCAGGTCTTTTAGAGTCAAATGCTAGAATGGAAGTTTCCTTCCTTCATGTTCTAATGTGATATAATCACATTCTGGCATGTAGCACTTCTAGCTACAAGCTCTTACTTTAACAATGATTGTAATACTTCTATTGATCGCTTCGATCACCGTTCACTTCAATCGTTTGTCTTAAGTCAGATGTTACATCGATCTTGGTTCTATGAACCACGTAACATACTCATCTTAGTCGAGATCGATTTGATATGATCACTAGGGTCGGAACATCAATCATATTCTTGGTCATTACCAAAACGATGGTAACGACATACATGAATAAAATGGAATCAATTACTAGCGCCTTGGTAACCTTG